ATTTCGTGCCAATAGAAATGCAGCTCTGTTCAGTAAGAATCCCGGTGGTGGCTTCTGTGTCTACATCAACATGAAATGGCGCAAGAACTCTGTACTAGTTTCCAATTACTGCTCATCGCTGGTAGAGTTTATCACTGTTAGATGCAGGCCTTTTTATTTACCTTGGGAATTCACTACTGTGCTCATTACAGCAGTATACATCCCACCCAGCGCTAACACTAAAGAGGCGCTCTGCGAGCTGTATAGGGTGATCAGCAAGCTGCAGAACTCCAGCCCCAATGGACCGTTTATTATCGCTGGAGATTTCAACCATGCAAATCTCAAGTCAGTGCTTCCGAAATTTCATCATTATGTAGACTTTGTGACGAGAAAGGCAAACGCACTGGATCATGTTTACACAAATATTCCCAGTGCGTACCAAGCGAAGCCCTGCCCCCACATTGGTTACTCAGACCCCTTGTCTGTCATGCTAATTCTGGCTTACAGATTGCCCATCAAACGCTTCAAACCGGTTCTGAGACAAGTGAGAACCTGGCCTGCAGGAGCTCTCTCTGCTCTTCAGGACTGTTTTGAACACACTGACTGTGACATGTTCAGGGAGGCTGCAACACCACATCAACACATCTGTGACTAGCTACATCAGTAAGTGCATTGATGATGTCACTGTCTCCAAGACTATCCTAATATTCTCCAACCAGAAACTGTGGATGACTTCAGAGGTGCGTGAACTGCTAAATTCTTGAGACTCCGCCTTCAGAGCAGACGGCAAGGGGGTCCTAGAAACAGTGAGGGCCACACTGAGCACTGGAGCCCCTCAGGGATGTGTGCTCAGCCCACTCCTGTTCACTCTGCAGACTCACGACTGTGCAGCAAAGCACAGCTCGAACCACATCATCAAGTTCGACAAGACTGTTTTGGGTCTCATCAACAAGAATGGTGAGTCAGCATACAGAGAGGAGGTACAACAGCTAAAGGACTGATGCAGAGTCAACAATCTGTGTCTGAACATGGACAAAACAAAACAGATGATTGCTAACTTCAGTAGAGCACGGAGAGATCACTGACCACTTAACATTAATGGATCCTCTGTGCAGGTCGCAAGAGCACCAAATTCCTTGGTGTTCACCTGACGGAGAACCTCTCCTAGTCCCTAAACACCAGCTCCATAACTAAGAAGGGCCAACAGCGTTTCTACTTCCTGTGGAAGCTGAGAAAAGACTATCGAGAGTTTCCTAAGCAGCTTCATCACTGTGTGGTATGGTAACTCCACCGTATTGGATCACAAGACGGATGGTGAAAGTGAGAACAGCTGAGAAGATCATTGGAACCACTCTTCCCTCCATCACAGACACCTATTGCATCCACTGCATCTGCAAAGCCACCAGCGATGTGGAGGACCCCACACATCCCTCACACACTTTTTTACCTTGCTGCCTTCTTGCAAGTGGTACCGGAGCATTCGGGCCCTCACTGCCAGACTGCGAAACAGTTTCTTCCCCCAAGCCGCCAGACTACATCAGTGACTGGTCTGACACACACACACACACACACACACACACACACGCAAACACAAACACACACACACACACACCTCACTACCTCAAGCACTTATCTGGACATTTTCATGCACACACGCACGCACGCAAACCTTCAAACATCACGTTATGTGTTGCACAATGCTCAGTCTTTTGCACAACACACTGTAATTGTTGCACTTCTCTAATTCACTGTTGTGTCTGCAGTGTCTTATGTCTGCACTGTCTTGTGTCTGTATCATTCTGTTCTGTCTGGTGTTGCCGTGTATTTGTTTAGGTTTTTTTTAAATTTAATTTAATTTAATTTTTTTTTACAATTTTTGCACACGTGCACTTTATGTAGCCCTGTGTTGATTGTCTGTTATATGTAATATGTAGCACTATGGTCTTTAAGGAATGTTGTCTCGCTTCACTGTGTACTGTACCACTGCACATGGTTGAAATGACAGTAAAGCCACATGACTTGACTTGTCTAAAGCAAGGCACAAGGGATGAAACTAGCAGAAAATACAGAAAAAGAAAATACATAAATACATGAAAGAAACATACACACCAAATACAGACTAAACAAACCAAGAAACAACATAAGATATTTAAATTAACAAAACCTGAGAGTACATTAACTTAAAGACCCAGGAGCATGACATGTGTAGTTGAAAAAAAATGCCCTAAAACAAAAAAAATCCTCAGTTCCAACCTTAAGTGGGTTATAGCAATCTGGCTAGTATTTAGAAAATAAGTAACACAGAAACATATTAGACTTTGCTGGTATTTTAACAACACAGCTAAATATATACACAGCAGTGGTGGAGGCACAAGATCTGGCCTTATCTATGCTATTAGCTAGATAATCCAAAGTTTCACCTGCATGAACAGAATTTAATTACGTAGTTGGAGTATATATGCCACAGTATGTGATGAATGTTTTTGCAGCATGGTCCTGATCCCAAGCGGCCATGAAGTCTGAAGCCTGTAAGCTGATTAGAGCTGAGGAACTTAAAACTGTGTGCGCATGCATGCATGCGTGTATTATTTGGTGTGACTGTAAGTGTGTGTGGTATGCAGATCACCTGCTCCTATCAGGATTCGTAATAATGTAGAGCAAACGCAAGGTCTGAGATAGATAGGTTAAGGCACTGATGCAGTAATCGGAGACAAAAAGAAGAAGTTACGTTGGGGGCAATGTCCTTGTTTTTCTTGCATCTGAGTGTGTTTGTATTTGTGTTCAGGAGCAGAGTACTAGAAGGCTCTCTGGTGTGTATCAGCCCTCTTAAAGCCTCTGGCTCTTTGCTGATTTGGGGATTTTAGTGGAATTCTATCACAGCTTACAGAAACCTTTTTGTAGCTGCTTGACTGGTGTAGGTCTGCTCACCAAAACATTTGCAGCTAACTGAAATACCAAAAGACAAGCTGAAAAGACATATGAAAAAAGTGTGAATGTATGTCACTTGTCTCCACTCAAACAGTGTTGAGCCAAGGACAGTCAACTTAAACAAGAATAAGTTGGAGGGCTACATTTTTTTTCTGAGCACAAAGTTTAAGGATATCTTACCCGTTACTTTTGGGATTTTGGCGTCTCTGGATTTAGTGAGCATGGAAAACTCTGGGCTCTTTTCCCCATCAATTACAACCTCCCAGTGGACATTGCCAGGCTCCCAAATAGGTAAAGTTGAATAAATGAATAAAAAAGTAATACTAAAAAAAATACCGTATTAACCTGAAATAAATAAGCACAAGCTGCAAGCTAACTACTTTTATCTTTAGTATAATAGCATTCCCTTACATTTTATATTGCTTAGATAGTGTGCACTTTCTTAGCTTTGGAGATAATACAAAGATTTTGATTATTCTGAAAGGGCATTAATGGCTGATAACATCATTGAATCAATAAAGTAGCCCATCACAACCACAAGTATGCCCCATTATTTTAAATTAAGCACAAATCACGGCAACTGAAGGAACAAGATTCTATTTTAAGATTTTAACAAATTCAGAATTCTGAGTAGATTTATTACAACCTCATTATGTAGTATTTAGAACTAAAAGAAAACATTTACACCTATTCAACTATGTTCATGAAGACTATGATACAAAGAGCTAATGTTTATCTAAAGTTTTAGTTATTTGTTTTGTGATTTATGAATCGAAATTTTCTTTATCTATGATTTTTGTCTGTTAAGTCAGCTTCTGGCTTGAGGGTATTTGTCCTTTTGTCCAGTGGTCCAAATTGATCTTTAACATTGCAATCATAATTCACCATGACCAACCTCTGTGGAGTTATACTGGCTGTTAGAGATTAACATAATCAAATCTCTAATGTGGCCCGACCAATAGTGATAGAACTCAGTAATGGAAACTTCTGTTGGTTGCACCGTGGAACATTTTATTGTATTTTCATTATACACCACACTGTAACACAGATTACATAATTTTAATAAAAAGATAACTGAAATGATCAACATCACTGTCGCAAAAGATCTGTGAAACTTGTGCTTATAATAGGAACTTCTCAGCTTTATCACTTTGTATGAGTTATTGATTTTTGACTATTTTTTTACTTCTTTGTAAGGAGGAATAAACGAAGACCAGTGCCCCCACCCCCACCACGCACCGCCCACACACCCACACACCCACACACAAACGGTGGGATGCAAATGAGTAGTGCCTCTAGGCTAAGGATGTTAATAGAGATTGATCTGTTCAGGGTAAAATTAGAAAATAGTGCACATTACTCTCAAATAGTCATTAGAGAACTGACTCATGTGTTTTGCTTTTTGAGATAACTGATGGGGATTGTTTATATAACATATAATTATTTACAGTTAAAAGAAAAGAAAAAAGGAAGTGCTATAAGAATCTAAAGTCCTCATCAGAATCTAGCAAACCTACAGCCAATTCAGATTGAATACCAGCCCTAGTATGTTTATTTTATATTATATATATATATATATATATATATATATATATATATATATATATATATATATATATATATATATATTCTATTCTCTGTGGCAGTGAACCAACACCTGAAGCAAGATATTTAACCCCTGGATGGTGTTGTAATCGATTGGGAGCTTCCAATACTCAGGAAAATACTGGATTTAAATCCTCCAGAAGCAGAAAAAAACTCCCTTAAAACTCCTTTAAAAACATGATGACAACAGAAAAAAATGAGAATTTAATGAAAATATTGTTCCCAATTCTGTTCATCTGGATGTAGCGTTTTCAGTGGGAGAAATGTTTCATCACTCATCCAAGTGACTTCTTCACTCCCTGAAGTCGCATGAAAATATTGTTGTTATGTATTTATGTAATGTTATGTAATTTGCCTAGACGCACCCTTCAATGGAAATTTTATATAATTTCTGTATATGATGAACATAAATCCATCTTAAACTGGCTGACTGGGATATACTGGATATCTGAAGCTAACTTTGTCTCTTGTTTGACCTCTGTTTGTAGTGTCCCCTGCTGCTGAAAGGCTGCGCCACATACTGGGAGAGGATGATAGCACTCCAACACCAACAATATTCACTGAGATGGATACATTACAGCAGGAGGGTGGTGAATTAGAGTGGAAAGAGTCTGCAAGGTACACACACACACACAGTAAGGTAACAATTTCTTGAATTCGGGAATTAAAACTTAATTTTCCCTCCTTGTTGTAGATGGGTGAAGTTTGAGGAGAAGGTGGAGGAGGGAGGAGAAAGATGGAGCAAGCCTCATGTTTCCACACTCACCCTCCATAGTCTGTTTGAGCTGAGAACCTGCCTGCAGACAGGAAGTATTCTGCTCGACCTAGAAGGCTACTCACTGCCACAGATCGTGGGTGAGTCATACAGAATATAAAAATCTATATAGATATATAGATTTAATTTGTTGATATTCTAAAAATATTCTTATTTTATTCTTGATAATCCCATATTGTTTAACTAATCTGTCAGAAAACTCTTTTCCTTCGATTATATGTTCCAAGTATTTCATTCGTTTCTCAGAATCAGCACCAGAATACTTGATTAATCCCTAAGGAAATTTACAACTCCAAACTGGGAAGTTTATCATATTATTGTTCTGTAGTATATCAGGATTGTTCCAAATATGTGTACGTTCCCATGGTATTAGTGAAGACTCATTTAATTTAATTCACTCTAGAAAGATTGGCACCTAGTTCAGTCTTTTATTCCGTGATTGCAGATGCCGTGCAGCGCGTCAGCCTCCGCTGCAGCAGCTCTGCAGACCTTGCCCCGACACATACCCCTATGCCCGACTGAGGCCGGGTAGCCATCTGCCCAAACGCGCAGAACCCCACCACAAGCTGGCGTCTGGTGGAGATGGGTGACATTCTCAGAGATTTGACCGACTGAGTCCCATAGCGAGGCTTTTACTGCAGCAAGTGATTCCACTTCCTGATGGCTGAATTTCAGAGATTCCCTCAGGGATTTAAATTCTCGGTGTAAAATCTCCATTAACCCTTGTATGGTGTTCGGGTCTGTGAGACCCGTGTTCAGTTTTTTTCAAAAGAAAAATTAAACAATTAATTATTTTTTCACGTGTAAATGTGTTGTGTCTTTCCACTCACTCCACTTGATTATAACTGATTTATTTATAACATTTTATATAAAAGAAAAACGAGAAGCACATTAATTCATAAATGTGATCTAACAAAGGTAAAGGGAAAAAATTAACCATGTTTGCTGTTCATATGTCTTGTAATTGGGATGAAGTAAACACCTGTTGAGTAATTTAACATAAAATTGTTTGATAGTGTTAATTTGGAAAGCCAAAACTCTAGCGGGTCCACCAGACCCATGAACACTGGCTGAGTAACAAAAATACGAACACCACACAAGGGTTAAGGACAACCTTGCGTTGAAGCGGGACAATCGCTTATCGAGTTAATTCAGGAAGTCTTTGCCGGCCAGCGATGTTGTACCAGGGGGTCAGCTGGGTGACTTGGAGGATGGCATCTCATTCTTGGTTAGGGAAGATGTGCTCTGGGCCTTGGAGATCTTGGAGAGTGTTCAAATTCTCATTGACGTCCTCCAGCGTATTGGAAATAATTAAGCAGATATGGATAGTTATTTGTCAAAGGTTTGGTATACTTTGGTATAAATGAAGGTTAAAAAATGCTTGTTTAATTCTGAGCTACCACTCAGTTCTGACCTACCATTCTATTTTTTCTGCCAAGTCTCTGGAAGTCTCACTTACAGTATTTCCTTTCTGTCACTTACTTTTACGTCACTTCTGTCACTTACCTCTCCTTCCGTCACTCCATTTTTTGTCTTCATCCATTTGATGGACAAGGATGTTTTTCTTATATGTTTTCTTTCTTATCTTATCCTGGCTTAATTCCAGTTTCTTCAAGGCTCTGCCTGTTCAGAGCCTAACCACAGTTCAGAAGTCTGGTGTATTCCTTGGCCATTTGGGCTCCTGGTAGCTAAAATTAGAAGGGACGAAACTTCTTGATTCCCCTTTTCATTTTCATGAAAATGCCCTATACTGCTGGGGCACTGACAATACAAAATACCAGTCGGCTGTACTGATATAGGCCTTGGTGAGTGTTTATCACCAGATATTTCCTGGATGTCTCTTCTATTTCCATCTGAAGGTAAGTCTGGGTGAGATCAATTTTTTGTGTTTGCCACCTGCCACCGCTGTGAATATGACTTCTATCCGCTGAAGTGGGTACTTACAGCACAAGGTACAGGACATGCCTTGTGAAATCTTGGTTATGCGGTGTCCTCCAGTATATAATATTTTTCAGAGTGCCAATTCCTTCTTTGAACATCTGAGCGTGTTTTATTAAGTATCTGTTTCAGTCTTTGAGCCACAGAATGTACACTGCCAATCTCATTGACTTAATTTATTTCAAGTTGAGTTGGATGTGTTTCAACCAGTCACGCCCAAATAATGGCACACCTCATTGCCAGTTTGTTATGTTCTCTTATATAACTTAACAATGTAGTTTGCCATCACCAGTGTGTGAATGTGTGTGTGAATGGGTGGATGACTGAACGTGTAAAGCGCTTTGGGGTCCTTAGGGACTAAATAAAGCGCTATACAAATACAGGCCATTTACCATTTTACCATTTAACTACTTAGACACATTGCAAACCTTTTAGGCAAATGTGACTTACTTTATTAAACATGTTGTGGAATTGCATAAGCAGATCATCTGCACATGCACCATATTTGGTATTGTTCTGCGAAGAACAATGTGTTGCTATTGCTAAATACATAACACACTGTATTCCTCCTTTTGAAGGCTGATGTGCAGATATCCTCTCTGACCCACAGACATCATGACCCATGCCTCTGAAGCCATTATTTCACAACCCCTGAGGTGGCAGCCTGGCGGGCCTCTAGGATGACCTTCTGCTGCTCCTACATCAGTTTCCGATGCACCCCCGTGTTTATATATCCCAATTTCTTGGCTGGTGCCTCCCTTGATGTGGGTTTGGAAGGCTTTGCTTCTTTATCTCGAGGTTTTGTCTCTGTAGCAGTGATTTCCCCAGCTGGATTTTTGGGTTGACATCCGGTTGGCTGCATACCTTCTCTTGGCTGTAGCTGTTGTCTACCACATTTCTGGAACATAATGTTGAAGGGTCTCTGATCTGGATCTGGGTAATGGCACCAAATGTTGAATTTTTGACCAGGCACCCCCGAATACAGGGAAGTCTGGAACTGACTCCCTGTTTAAAGAGTCTCTGATTCTTTGAGTATTACCCACTAGGCAAACAGTGCTTAGATGGAGCCAGGGATGAGACTTGCCAAGCTCTAACTGCTTCTCAGCCTTTAAGATATTGATATTGATCCCATGTTTGGCCGGGTGGCCTTGTGGTCAAACCCGAGCCCCCTCAGTCACACTAGTTATCAGATTTATCTTCTCTATTTATGTACATTTGATAACTAAGTAAGTTAGAATTCAGTGGTCTTGAAAAATACTGTCTTACAAGGGGTTAAAAGGGAATGTCCACAATCGCCACGCTTCATGTATTTGTATATACATTTCACCTCTTAACATTCACCTGGCAGACAGTTAAATGGTTTCAATTTGTCACACACTAAAAAGTATGGATTCAGAAAGTGGATTATGTTGAATTTTAAATAAGTTATAAGAGTGATAAGCAGTGATAAGGCTTCCATTTGGATATACCAAATTGATGAGAAGATGTGAGTATAATGTTAACATATTAACTGGGCTGGAATCTTTCTGTTTCAGAGGAGATTGTGGAACAACAGATAACTGATGGTCTCATTCCTCCTGATCTTAAGGAGAAGATTATATTTGTGTTGCTCAGGAAGCATCGTCATCAGACCAAGAAGCCAATCCACCGCTCTCTGGCAGACATGGGAAAATCATCCAATACTGCGTCTAGTAAGCATGTGTATTCTGTGTGTATGCCTTTTTATGTACCAATTAGTAGTTATGAAAGAAAGTAATCTAACCTTCTAATCAACTCCTGACAACCTTTGTTTTCTCCACCATGTTGCTCACTACCTGTTTCACCTTCCCTCACAAAATCACTGCTGTTGCTGCTGCTCTGTCAGGCCGTAGTCCTCAGGTTAATCTGAGTCGTAGCACTAGTTCAGCTTCTGGGATCCACCACTCCACAGAAGACCTACGTTCTCGGCAGTCAAGCAGCCTTGGCCGCCTGCGTGAGTCACACAAACACACACATGTAATACATGCACCACTACACAAGGATACATGAGTTTACAAGATTGACTTTTACTTCTAAATAGGTTCTCATTGGTGTATTAGTACACCATGAAATTCAAGTACTGAGAACTTGTTAGTATTTCCAGTTGGTGGCCAGATTTTAAATTCTCTTCCTTTCTTAATATCTATGCTTTTCATCTTTTTTTTGATGAGAAAAATTATCCCAGCCAACTCCCAGCTGTTGCATGATTTCAACACCTGTGATGGCTTTGTGTGTGTGTACATATGTGAAATGTGTTAAGCATAAAGTGTGTTTACTTGAGAGATTATTGGTCCTATTGTGTGCACCTTTGCTGATTTCTTATGTGCAGCCATCTGCGTGAAAGGGATTAGTAAAGGATTTGTGTAGTATGTTCTTATTATTTTGCTTTGATTGTATTTGTTCCCAAATCTCCTTCGGGAAAAAAGAGAAGCAAATAATTAAAATATAATCCCCAACAGAAAAGGCTATTCATGATTAAGTTCATGCTCTTTCTGTTGCTCAAAGGACCATTTATTGGGGTTTATTTACAATTTTCACTAAATGAAACAAAATGTTCTTGATGGGAACATCACTCAAGCATTAAAACCTATTTTCCTTTTATTTTTATCTAATCCAAAAGGTCTCATTTGCTCCATTTACAGATCATGCTCAGAGTAGAAGCATGAATGATATTTCAGACACACCAAGCACTGATCAGGTAACTTATTTTTCAATATTTTACATGTGTGCTACTCTCTATTTTTTATCTACATGTGTCTCTTACATCAGCGGTCCCCAACCCCCGGGCCTCGCACCGGTACCGGTCCGTGAGTCGTTTGGTACCGGGCCGCGAGAGTTGAGGCTCAGATGTGAAATGTATGGTTTTCAGGGTTTTTATCGGTTTTCAGCATTATTTTGTTATCGTTTTTATCGTTAACTCGGTTCTCCTGGGTCTTTTCAGTGTGTTATGAATAAATCTTCTTTTTTTCAGTACCGGTACTAGTTTTATTTTGTTGTATTTATCTGCGACACCTTAAAGGCCGGTCCGTGAAAATATTGTTGGGCATGAACCGGTCCGTGGCGCAAAAAAAGGTTGGGGACTGCTGTCTTACATGTTTGTTCATGCTATACATCAGGGTCATTCTATATAAAATCATTCAAATACGGAAACAATCTGAAAAAGCTTTTTGACCCACTGTTGTACTTTAAGGAGCCTATAACTCCAAGTTTTGGATACTTTCATTAAATAAAGCCATTGCATAATAAATGACTGTTTTTAAGGAGGTCAGGTGGGAGGAGCGGATTATATGCAAAGTATGGCAGAACAGAGAAGGCATTGGTGATAAGAATACGATATTAAATCTGAAATAGGAGAGCTAAGGAGGAGGTGCTTGCAAGGGTACAGCAATTGTAGGCATGCTACAGCCAAATGGATGCCAGCCGGGATTGTGGAAACTTGGCATTATGTCCTTCTGAACTAACACTAAGCTCATATAATTTGCTCATTTACAAATTCAAAATTCGTGAACCTGCATGAGGTTTATAAAGAGTTGTAGAGTGCCATTTAGCTTTAACCCATCCTTGGTGTGTTGTTGAGTTACAGCAGGCAACTTTTTTTCTTTTCAATTGAAAAGCTTGAAAACAAAGGCTATTTTACACTCTGCTTAGCTGAAACCAACATTACCCAGAGCAGCTGGTGATCATAGGCATTTAAATCTAATGAGTTCCAACATGATAGGTGTTATATTGAGAAATAAGGCTGCCATAGAGCTAAGAAAGAGAGGTAGCATTTTTATTAGCAAAGAAAAGTATTAAACTAGGAGGACTGGAGTTGGAGATACCTGATCTACACAGACAGGAACCCAACACAAAGCTACTCAAGAACCCAAATCAACAAGTAACAAACTGATGGACATGTAGGCTTGAAACCTGTTGTCACGGGTGGGGTGCCAAGAGTGAGAGGACCCTAATGCAGAGATAGTTTAACAAAAAGTGAGCTGTTAATTTGGCCGACAACATGGTATAAAATACAAAACACGAAGAACAGAAGAAATATATAACGTCAAATTACAAAACTGGGTGTGAACCAGGAGACACCAGGGAAAAAGTGAGCTGACACTCTGATCAGGGACAATTAGAGACTCAGACAACAGATACACATAGCAGGGTGATTAGGAAAGTGGAGACGGCAGGGGAAAATTAGGAGTAACAAGTGAGGCATAACTGCATATAATGGACAGGACACACTGGCCCCCAAAATAAAACAGAAGCGTAACCACTGAAACAGAGACAAAAACACACAAACTTGACATAGACGAAAGGTAAAGAGAGACACCACTGGCTGCACAAGGAGACATAAAAAGCCGAAAGACAGGAAATAGTCAAAGGAAGTGGAAAGGGAAATAAAAGAGAACATATTAACATGAATAGACTAAACAGAAGGGAACTCGCAAAGGAGGAAGGGAACATAGAAAGTAACAGATTTTAACCGAACACAAGGTACACAAAACAAGGCACTGGCAAAATAAGACTGGAAGTATAGAATGCAGAGAGGCAACCTTGACACACAGAAAGGGAAACAACCACAGAGACAAGACTGACTACACAAGAAGGCACAGGCAACACAGGGGAGCATGATAGAAAAAAATTAAAGAACAAAACCAATCTGAAAACTATATAACCAAACTAAGAGCCTAAAATATAAATACTAAGTGTGAATGCAAGACCCATACACAACAATATTTTATTTACTGCTTCAGTCCATGCATGTTATCTAGGGGTAGCTTTTCAGCTGCTCAGAAGCCGTGATGCCTCACTTGTGCTCTGTACTCTGTATCCTCCACACATGCCTCCTCAGTACCTGACATATTACTGAAATAGGGAGAAAAAATAGAAACAGCTGTGGCGTCCAGCCTCCTGTAATCACTTATCACTCATGACCGGGTTCAGAGACAAACAGGAAGACTCCGCTCAGGTGGGTCTGCTGGCCCAGACAGGATGAGTCCCCACAATAGCGGTCATTAGTGAGGGTGGTGAGATGGAATACCGAGCTGTGATTGACTGCTAAGTGACAAAGACCAAAGAATTGATTGTGGACTTTAGGAGGACAAGGAAACCCTTGACCTCTGTTTCAATCTGGGGGGTCGATGTGGACATTATACACGACTATAAATACCTCGGAGTACACATAGAAAATAAAATGGACTGGGGTAAAAACACATATGCACTCTACAGGAAGGGCCAAAGGCATCAACATCTGTCGGACAATGCTCAGGATTGTTTAAGAGTCTGTTGTGGACAGTGCCATCCTCTATGCTATTGCATGATGGAGCAGCAAGTTACGGGTCGCAGACGGAAACACACTCAATAAACTGATTCGCAAGGCCAGTAATGTTGTGGGGACAGAGCTGTACTCCCTTAGGGTGGTGTTGGAGAGGCGGCTGTTGTCCAATCCATGATGTTGTTCAATAAGGACAATGCTGGATAATACCTCCCACCTACTCCATGACGTGCTGGCCAGTCACAGGAGCACATTCGGTGAGAAACTGAGATTACCCAAATGCACCACTGAATGACACAGGAAGTCATTCCTGCCTGTGGCTATCTCCCTGCACATCTCCGCCATCTAATGCACAGCACGCACTGCAGTAGTTACACCCTTTTGCAGATGCGCTACAGTAAAATGAAACAGGTTAGAGTTAAATGTCAATAATATATATTTCATCTCTGTAATATTCTTGATATTTAAATTGAGCTGCTTGTATATACAGGGAGTGCAGAATTATTAGGCAAGTTGTATTTTTGAGGAATAATTTTATTATTGAACAACAACCATGTTCTCAATGAACCCAAAAAACTCATTAATATCAAAGCTGAATGTTTTTGGAAGTAGTTTTTAGTTTTAGCTATTTTAGGGGGATATCTGTGTGTGCAGGTGACTATTACTGTGCATAATTATTAGGCAGCTTAACAAAAAACAAATATATACCCATTTCAATTATTTCTTTTCACCAGTGAAACCAATATAACATCTCCACATTCACAAATATACGTTTCTGACATTCAAAAACAAAACAAAAACAAATCAGCGACCAATATAGCCACCTTTCTTTGCAAGGACACTCAAAAGCCTGCCATCCATGGATCCTGTCAGTGTTTTGATCTGTTCACCATCAACATTGCGTGTTCAGAGAGGTGTACTGTTTTCCCTCCTTGTAAATCTCACATTTGATGATGGACCACAGGTTCTCAATGGGGTTCAGATCAGGTGAACAAGGAGGCCATGTCATTAGTTTTTCTTCTTTTATACCCTTTCTTGCCAGCCACACTGTGGAGTACTTGGACGCGTGTGATGGAGCATTGTCCTGCATGAAAATCATGTTTTTCTTGAAGTGTGCACTTCTTCCTGTACCACTGCTTGAAGAAGGTGTCTTCCAGAAACTGGCAGTAGGACTGGGAGTTGAGCTTGACTCCATCCTCAACCCGAAAAGGCCCCACAAGCTCATCTTTGATGATACCAGCCCAAACCAGTACTCCACCTCCACCTTGCAGGTGTCTGAGTCGGACTGGAGCTCTCTGCCCTTTACCAATCCAGCCACGGGCCCATCCATCTGGCCCATCAAGACTCACTCTCATTTCATCAGTCCATAAAACCTTAGAAAAACCAGTCTTGAGATATTTCTTGGCCCAGTCTTGACGTTTCAGCTTGTGTGTCTTGTTCAGTGGTGGTCGTCTTTCAGCCTTTCTTACCTTGGCCATGTCTCTGAGTATTGCACACCTTGTGCTTTTGGGCACTCCAGTGATGTTGCAGCTCTGAAATATGGCCAAACTGGTGGCAAGTGGCATGTTGGCAGCTGCACGCTTGACTTTTCTCAGTTCATGGGCAGTTATTTGGCGCCTTGGTTTTTCCACACGCTTCTTGCGACCCTGTTGACTATTTGGAATGAAACGCTTGATTGTTTGATGATCACGCTTCAGAAGCTTTGCAATTTTGAGACTGCTGCATCCCTCTGCAAGATATCTCACTATTTTTGACTTTTCTGAGCCTGTCAAGTCCTTCTTTTTACCCATTTTGCCAAAGGAAAGGACGTTGCCTAATAATTATGCACACCTGATATAGGGTGTGATGTCATTAGACCACACCCCTTCTCATTACAGAGATGCACATCACCTAATATGCTTAATTGGTAGTAGGCTTTCGACCCTATACAGCTTGGAGTAAGACAACATGCATGAAGAGGATGATGTGGACAAAATACTCATTTGCCTAATAATTCTGCACTCCCTGTATATTAGAGCTATCTCTTATATTTTGTAAACTTTGTAATATATTGTATTATTTAATCAATTTAGTCTGTTACTGTTATTGTCTTGGAGCAACTGTAACCCACATAATTCATGATTCATGATTTTGATTCTGAACCCTGACAAGGCAACCCTGTAAAATGAAAACCATTTCAGGTGACTACATCATGAAGCTCATTGAGAGAAGGCAAAGGGTTTGTAGCACTGTCAACAAAGCAAAGTGTGGCTACTTAATATAAGAGATATTTCCACATGTCAGCACTGGTACAGATGTGTCTGCTGGGCATGCTTTCTGTTTAGGACAAAGCAGAGTGTACTCAAGAATTGTCAGAGATAACATAGTTATTGAAACAACAAGAAAATAAGGCAGGCTATGCAAGTTTTAAGACACCCAGCCTGTAGAAGCTCAGGTAAAGTAACTACAAGTTTAACTTGGCTGTTTTGCTCAGATGAAGCAGACAAGTCATGTTTTTGCTACCTTTCTGTGTGTCTTTCTTAAGGCTGTGCATTCCAGTACACTACTGCACAATTAGAGCGTGATTAGGCCAGACAAACCACATGTACTAACTAGACTCCCTTTCTCTGACCTTTTCCCTGAATGACTCAAACTAATATTACCTCCTGCAGCTGAGCTTAACCAAACCCCTCTACAACACCATAACAACTGAAAGAAGGAGAATAATAAGTGAACTGTGTACAGTATGACTGCCAAAGGCAACTAAAACTCTGGAATGTGTGACGTGGCTTTGAAATGTGTCGTTTATAGTTTCTTAGTGTCAAGAAGTTAGGAGCAGCATTAGCAGATTATGAAGAGATTTTAGTTTAAGCAACATCATTCCAAGACCAAGTGTTTCTGCTTTAGAATAAACTACTGTAATCACAGAGAAAGAAGAGTAAACAACAGGGTTTCAGTGCTTGAGCTGTTCCAGCGATCATCATAGGGAATGTGAGGCACTCGAACAGTAATACGCTAATTAGGACCACGGTGAGTTTAATTTTATGCGCTTGCTATAGAAATGTGAAGGGGTTATACCAATCTAAATCTGGTCTAGTTCAGGACACGTTACTCTGAAGGAAAACTTCTCTTAATTTTAACTATTAGCCATGGCAATGCATCTATGTTACTTCCCAAGAAACTTTTCAATGCTGCTGCTGGTGGAATTTAGTTTAAGCCAACACACAGTTTAGAATTCCTTCATCAGCTGATGCAGAAGTAATCCAAATGAGTGTGGCTGTGGTGAATGGCTGTGGATGATTTTATCAGTGGATTCTGACTATCCTCTGTATCCATATAAAGTCCAAATTTTATGTATCCACAATGCTGTCACAAGGCCAGATAGAAAAGGTTTTACAATCTCATACCAAAATTTCTGCATTTATTTTAAGCTCCTTATTGTATTATATTTAGATTTTGATTTAATGCTTCACTTTTTTGTATTTTGTTCAGTTGAGCTCCTTCTGTAGTGTTTTTTCTACCTCCCTGAGCTATTTTTATTTTGTGATATTATTAATTTTTTTGAGCTAAGTTGTTTTTTGATTATTTTTTTTTGGTGCTGTAACATTGTTATTTTCCAACATTTGGGACAGATAAAGTACTTTTCATTCTCCATCATCATCTTCTTATTGGTGTTGTCTCAAGTGAAAATGGTAAATGCTCAAGGGGATAGAGGAAACTCTAGGACTCAGCCTCTATAGATCCTGAATGTTTACATCTGTGTACCATATTATCATATTACTTGTTCAAATCTGTCCCAAGAAATATCATTGCAGGAGGACCACAGGACACTATCTGCCAAAATGTTTTACTGAGGAGTTCCCTCAATAAAAAAGAAGTCAATAAGAACGTTTTTTGAGCTTTGTTGTTGTCCAGCTGCTGTTGCATTTTGTTTAACTTAGCTCATGCGACCTGATTAGCTACTGACAGACATGATTAAGCAAGCTGATTATGATATGCATAAGCAACTATAAAATGTCAGCTATGTTGAAACACAAATTACACTCCTGCATTTATCCCAAAGGTTTCATTTCTTTGCATTAATCTTTTGTTTGACAGCTTAAGAATAAGTTCATGAAGAAGATACCTCGTGATGCTGAAGCATCCAATGTCCTGATTGGTGAAGTTGATTTTCTGGATAAACCCTTTGTCTCCTTTGTACGCTTGGCTCAAGCTACAACTCTGGGGGGGCTTACTGAAGTTCCTGTACCAACCAGGTAGGTCCTTTCAGCTTCACTGTCAGCTGGGTGTGTCTTTGAATTGATCAATTTATCAACATTTCCCCCCTCTGTTCCCCCTCTGGCAGATTTCTCTTCATTCTTCTGGGTCCTCATGGCAAAACCAAATCCTACAACGAGATTGGCAGAGCTATTGCTACACTCATGGTGGATGATGTAAGTGACTAGCACTAACCCAACAGGATATGCATGCATCAAATATATTTTATGAGTTATCGCTTTTTCTTTTTTTCAGTTGTTTAGCGATGTTGCCTATAAGGCAAGGGACCGTGAAGACTTGATTGCAGGTGTTGATGAGTTTCTGGATGAAGTGATTGTCCTTCCTCCAGGAGAATGGGACCCCAAGATCCGTATTGAACCACCCAAAAAGGTTCCATCTGCAGAAACGAGGCATGTGCTTTTAATAACGTTTTAATTTTGATCTCAGATATATTACTGTTGGGTTATATTTTAGCTAAATGCCAAATAGGACGGTTGCTAACCAGTCCAAACAATACCCCTAATCCTAGATTGGGTGCCAGTGATCTGGTGCATGTTAGGAATGTCCACTTCTTCATGTTCTCTCAAAGCTCTTTCTTTAGATAAAGCAGCTTTATTATTTGTACATTAAAAACCATAATGGACTTTAAAAAAATAATATGTATAATGACAGTATGTCAAAACTGGAGATTTAACATTCCAGAGTTGAATTAAAACCTGCTTCCTCTATCGCATTTATCCCAGAAAGTCAGTGCTGAACTTGAATGAGCTGGGTCAGGTGAATGGTTTAGCTGGCGGAGCAGCTGGAGGTGAAGATGAGGAGCTTCCAGCCCCACATGAGTTGGGAGAGGAGCTGAAATTCACTGGGAGGTATATAACTGAAAAGGATTATACCACTCCAGTTACAGTATGTTTAATTCTGCATTTCTAAATGAGCACCCCACTCTGTTTAAACAGGATTGGTGGTGGATTATGGCTGGATATCAAAAGGAAGATCCCATGGTATTGCAGTGATATTTATGATGGTTTCCATATCCAGTCCATCTCTGCTGTGCTATTCATCTACCTAGGCTGCATTACCAATGCTATCACCTTTGGAGGACTACTAGGGGATGCTACTGACAATTACCAGGTCAGAGAGGTCCAAAGTAATACATAGCACATAGCACAAAACATGACATATTATGATCTGTTCCCTATTTTTCTCATAGGGAGTGATGGAGAGTTTTCTTGGCACTGCTTTAGCAGGAAGTGTCTTTTGCTTGTTTGGAGGACAGCCTCTCATCATTTTGAGTTCAACTGGGCCCATTCTCATCTTTGAAAAACTGCTTTATGAGTTCAGCAAGTAAGATGCACTAGAACACAGTTGAATTCTATATAAAAAAAAACAAACGTAAACATAAACATCTCTACCTTATATCATTGTCAATACAGAAACAATGATGTGGACTATATGGAGCTTCGTCTGTGGATTGGCCTTCACTCGTGTCTGCAGTGTTTTTTACTGGTTTTTTCAGATGCTAGCTACATCATCAAATATATGACCCGATTCACAGAGGAGGGTTTCTCCAGCCTCATTTCTTTTATATTCATTTCTGATGCAATCAAGAAGATGGTAGGTAATATTTTTTTATCTAATATGGTTAAGCATCCAATGTTTTTTGCTTTTATCCTTACATCTCCTTTTATCGTACACTCTGCAAACATTTCACACAACAGAGACACAACACTTATGATGCACCATAGTACACTGCCCATAAAGTCCAGTAAGCTGACATTGAAAAAAAAAAAATCTGGCACACACTAGATAATTATCTTGTAGGAAAAAAAAATCTCACAAGATAAGTTTCTTACAGGAAAACAGATGATCTTGTGCATAAAAATTATTATTTTATGCATACAAGTTATAATCCAATCTTCTGTGTAGAAGAATATACATTTGTGCAAAAATATCTTGTGCAAGGAAAAAAATGGCGATGGGAATTTAGGTGTTACACAAAGAGAAAAATGGTTTGTTCTTCGCAGGTCGGAGCCTTTAAATATTACCCAATCAACCGTGGCTTCAAACCTGATTACATTGCAGCTTATAAGTGTGAATGCATCGCTCCAGACCAGGGTGAGTCTTCAAACTATTTTTTTTTAATTATTTTATGTTAATATTTTATTTAATTTTATTTTCTGTTATTGTTGGGGTGGGGTGGACATGGCAATGACCAGGTTCAGATTACAGAAATGAGCTTGTTAATACATGAGCATCAGCGGATTTGATTGGTGTGTCTTTGAACTCCGGAAATATAGAGGGTTACCTGTTTCTTCCTGCTTCCACTCCATTTGCAATTCTGAGCTCCTTTTATTGTATATCATAAATCCCCAGGAGATTGATATTGGTCTTTCCATGTCAGTATGGAAAAGGGGCGAGCAATGAGATGATGTCGTACAAAACATAGAAGATGATGTCTTCTATGCTTTGTATGGTGGCCCACAAATAAAATTTATTATTATTACTATGTGACACACACTTAATGGCCACAAGTATCAGATCACATCCCTTAGTTTTTGAATCCAGTTGTTTTTGGTCCCATTGCCACAGGTGTATAAAATCAGGGACCTAGCCATGCAGTCTGCCTGGCTCTGGGTTGTTCTAATGAGTTCACTGAATTTGGGGATTATAACAGGATGCCACTGGCACAACAATTCAGCCTGTGAAATTTCATCCTTTCCAAGAATAAATTTCATAATCATTTATAGATGATCGTGAAATATCCAATATCATCTATAAATTATATTTATTGCAAAGTGGAAGCATTTAGAAACCACAGCAAATCTGACATAAAGTGACAAACCATGTACATTTACAGAGTGTGGTCATAGGTGCAGTTCACATTAAATAATAGTTCCCAGCACTGACTGCAGCGTCCTAAACTCCTTCCTTCTCCTTCAGTTAACATCAGCACAGTGCACCAAGAGCTTTGTTGTATGGGTTTTCGAGCAGCCCCTGTAGGCAATGTGTATTTTTGTCCATGTATTTATACAGTGTGTATGTAAGGTGTTTGGAATCAATTTTGGATACATTTAATTAAGTTACTTTTTAGCATCATTAACAGACTTAGGAAGTCCCTCTACCTTTTTAAATACATTGCAAAGAAAATATTAGGATACTGTGAAAAACTATTTGCTCCCTTCCTGATTTCATTTGTACTTTTTCCCCCTATTTGTCACTGTTGCATGTTTCAGATCATCAAACAAATTTTAACATTAGACAAAGATAACCTGAGTAAATGCAGTTCTTAAATGATTATTTCACATGCTAAGGCAAAAAAGATTAATCAATATCATCCGTGAAAAAGTAATTGCCCCCTCATAACTGGTTGTGCTACCTTGGCAGCAAGAAGTGCCATCAAGCATTTGCAATAACTGCCAGAGAATCTTTCTTATGGCTCTGGATCTGAATCCAAAGCATCTAAATCAGATTTAAGTTCACATTGTATCAGGTAGGTTTGGATATTTTTTTCCTTAAGGAATGAAATCATCATTTTAAAAACTGTATTTGTATTTATTTATTTTATCTTTGTCTAATATTAAAACATGTTTGGTTGTCTGTGTTCCTGATGGACATATTTGATTGCATAAGAAGCATGTGTTTAGTTTGTACTCTGTCATGATTTTGTGTACTTTTGTTTCTGCTTCATATTTGAATGCTCACTAAAAAAGTGAGTACACATCTAAATATCTCTTGTAAACATTCCAATATAATGAAAAAATTGTGATTGAACTGGGATATAGAAAGTTATATTGCATTATTAACACTATTACGTAAAGCTTTACATTTTATATTATCCATCATTCATTCTTTTTTTCTTTCTCTTCTTCAACTTATGCCTTTTCCTCTTCAGCACCTGCACTGGGCTTGAATGCTTCAGCTCCACTTGCAGATGATAATATGACTCTGCTGGTAAGTGACAGAAGACCACAAAGAGTTACATTAGCGTCACTTTCATGAATTTTCATTATTCCCATTGGTGAAAATAATTTGTATCTCAGTTTATTTGGCTGTTTTGATCTGCACATGGTATGATATGAACAAATTTGAACTAAAGACTAAGTGAAGTAATTGAGGCCCCTATTTATCAAGCATTTTAGTGAAGGAAGTTAGCCTGGGACAATAATTCTTTAGCTGCGCCAACTTTAAACACTTTTTCAGCTTTCTTAAATTATGTAATGAATCCTAATTTTATTTAATTTTAATCATAATTAATTTTCATTTATCTTTTCTTGTCATTTACTAAACAAAACTGAACCCTTTTGATTTAGAAAAAATGGCTGTCATCCATTTTTAACAAATTGCTTTGGCTTTTTTTCAGACAAAATGGTTTATATTTAATGCATTTAGAATTATGATGTTGTGTGCATAAACTCTATGTTGTTACTAAAATATCTCACATTGATTTGCAAAGCCAAGTTTTAATTAAATGTTGTTTGTGTTGCAATCTTTGCTCTTCACTGGAGTGAGGGGAGGCTCTGGACAGTGCATGCTCAATCAGTAGCAACCTGTCACTAACTGTCAAGGAAGGCCCACCCATTTCACCATCCTTCTGGACACTCCTAAGGATCATAATTTTAAAAATGAATATCACATTGTATTCAAAACAACTTGAAATGGAGTCCATTAACTCACTCTAAAGTGTTTACTGACATTAGAGAATTAAGGAAACCAAAATCTGTTTTTTTCATTGACTCCTCACCTGGCTATTAGAAAGAACTGCTGAGGCTTAAGACACTTCAACTTTGGCTTTAATTTTTAGACTTTAGAAGCTACACCTAGATGTCTCTTTTTTTTCCAGCCACAAAATGCTATGCTGGCCAGTATAACTCTATTTTACCAGATCTAAAACTGTACCTCCTTTTATACTACATGTCATAGTCATACAGGAATTTTATGGCTGAGACTAAACAACTTTTCATCGTAAGTATATTACACAGAGAGATTGCGATGTAGACAGGAACAGCCACAGTTTTAATGACAATCTTAGATAGTGGACAACCTCCTGAATGACACTCATAGCATTCATTAGTGTTAAAAGGCAAAAACATGAACTGTTATATTTTGCTCTATATTCACAAGAGAAAAAAAATATGACCAGTAAAGTTCCCCTACAGATGGCAGATACTACTACTAAAGAGTTTTGGGGTTGTTACTGTAAGAGTGATACATACATATATACAGACTGATGAATTTTGATTGATCAGTCCATAATACCTTCTTCCAGTCTTCAGTAGTCCAATGGCGATGTTTCATGTCCCAGGAAAGCCTCTTTGTCTTATTCTGACTTTTTACCAATGGCTTTCTTGCTGCAGCTCATCCTGTCAAACCTGAGCTCGAAGTCTACTCTTCACAGTTGAAACTGAGGCTTGCTTGATGACCACTGTTAAGCTGTGCTTCAAGCTGTTGTCCTGCAAGCTGCCTATCACGCAAGCTGTTAACTCCCAGAAACTTGTCCTCTGATTCGGTTTTGGCTCGCATCAACATCTCCAGCATGGTCAGTGGCATGGTCAGAGACAACATGAAATAGAGCCGGTTTGCAGATTTGCAATCCTCTGAGTGAAGAGATTGCTGCACTTCACAGGATTATATATGGCTGTTAGCACACACCATGTAGCGTACGCACTCTCCCCCTGGGCCCAGCTACTCATAAACTTGTGCAGAGAGCTGGACATCCTGTATTGAACAATGATAGTGTGTGATTAGATCCTCAAAGCTTCACAATTCTTGGATGAATGATGATGAAATTTTGCTCTGTTATTAACCTACATCAAATGAATAGCTTTAGCTGACTTGTGTTTAAAGATGGTTATTTTAGAGTGTTTAAATACTCAGATTCAGTGTACTGATACTGACTGCAGGTGACCTCGGCTGGCTGGAAGTCAAGCATTGTTTTTCAAGCAGATTTTTCTGATGGCTACTCTGATTATTATACAGCTTTTAAAAAACTGTATAATGCCATTAAGCGTTATTTAAAAGTGTTAGTCTATTCCTCAGAAAGCAGCAGGAAAAGCATACAAATTCCATCATGATTTTTAATTTGCAACTCTAAATTTCATAAAGCTGGGATACAATGCTTTCTCCTATGTGGCAACATTTTTAAAAAATAATGTAAAGGTCCAAAATGAAGTTCAGTGTGATTCCTATAATTGAGTCCACTTGCTTGATAAATATGGGCCAAGACAGCGGCGTTAATCCAGCCATCAGAAAGCACTGTGGCTTTCAGTTATATGTGTTGTGTTTTTTTCTTTTGTTATTGCTTGGTTTTTTTTCTCTTTCTTGTGTCTGCTTTTTCTCCACTCCGCTACCTATCCATCAATTTTCCCTTCTCTGCTATGCTTCTTCCTTCCTCATCCCTTCGATTCTCTACTTTTGCTTCTCCTTCTGCCGTTGTCGTTTTTAGTTTAACTTAACAGATCTGGACTGGAGTCAGCTGAGTAAGAAAGAATGTGTCAAGTATGGTGGTATGCTGGTGGGGAACTCCTGTAAGTATGTTCCTGACCTGGCCCTCATGTCCTTCATCCTCTTCTTTGGCACCTACTCCATGACAGTGTCTCTTAAGAAGTTCAAGTTTAGCCGCTACTTCCCAACAAAGGTAAGCAAATCCTTATACTCAATAACTGCAGGAAGAAAACTCTCCCAGGCTGCCTTTAATTCCTGCATGTGAAATGCTGGTTTCCTTTAATTTGATGTTATGCCTATAATTACAGCATCAAAGTAGTGGCATTTAAAGAACAACGCTGGTGATGTTCCTTTTAAGGTCAAAAAGATCTACCAAGTAGGCTATTGTAAAACTCATTTTTACAATAATAGTCACTTAGACTAAAAGGCTAGTTTTAGAGCCTCTTTAAGTGGGATGATCTGCTTGTTTAGCTATTTTAGCATCTGAATGGTTCAGTTTTCAGTTTTCATGCAAGCACTTAGGCTTCACAGAGGACTGAAAACATCCAAACTTGTATACTTCTGTAATGTTGCATGATAAAAATGAAGAGCAACACCTAAATACCAATGAGACTATGGAACAGATGAGAAATAATGATTTGAACACATAAAGCTAGCTTTAAGGTATTGTTTGGCTACTATAAACAGAAGCACTTTCAATTTCTCACAAGATTTAGAGTGAGTGTTAAATTGTTCTCAATAAAATGACACATCAAGGGAAGTGCCTAATAGGCAAAGACAAATGCCATCATAGAAGAAGACATCCAAACGTCTGCCAAGAGATTTCTGGCATGGCATAATTATATGTACTTTGTCTACTTACTTACGTAGTCCATCTAAATATACTCATTAGAAATGTAGAATATTGCCAGTGTTTTACTTTAAAACTTCACCTACACAGTATGTGCTCGTTATCCAGACAACCAACCTTACACTTCCATATGTTTACCAGAATGTTCTCTCCATGTTGTCCCCCCCCCCTCCACTGCTTTCCACGTATGTGCTCCAGCTTCGCACACTGATCAGTGATTTTGCCATCATCATTTCTATCCTGGTCTTCTGTGGGTTGGATTGTCTGTTGGCGCTGGACACACCCAAACTGCACGTACCCACTGAACTCAAGGTCCACCCTTTCCTAAATACCTCTCTCATCTTGTCAGACCTTGTTCTTAGGACACTGCTGGCCACTCAATTCTTTCCTCAGCAATGTAGTTGTTTACGCATCTAAACAGGATTTGGAGTGTGTGGATTGATCAATTTTACACTTTAACTGAGTAAATAATCTCTTTTCTCTTTTCACTGTCTTGCTTTCCTCATGTATCTACCACTTTCTTATACTTAAACGTATGTCTCCCGTCATCACTTTTACTGTGCACATTTGTCTTTGCCCTTCTTTTGTCCTGTGTAATTGTATATGGGCTGACCTATAGCTGAGGAAGCTAATCAGTGACTTTGCCATCTTCATGTCAATCATGTCCTTTGTGGGTCTCGATATGCTGATGGGGTTAGACACACCCAAACTTATCGTGCCAACAGAGTTCAAGGTATTTGATTTTTCACAAAATTTTTAAAAAAAATATATATATATATTCTGTCACTTCAAAGAATAATTATACTTCTAACAAGAGCACTCAATGAGCCCAACTCTCCCCAAGCAGCAAGAGCTATACTAAAACTTATATTGATGTCAGCATTGGTAATGTGGAAATCCCCAATTATGACATTGCTTTCGTAGATCATTTTTGCTGATGTCAGAACAATATGGAAATCTTTTGCAGTATATTCATCTCTTTGTGTCATTATGAAGTCATAATGTTGTATTGGAAAAGAAAAAAGTTTTTGAAGAGCTCAAAAAGAAAATGTTTATGTTTATCTTTAAAGTTTGGAAGTGATTCAATGGAAACTTAGGCTTTTCCCCTAATTTGTGGGACCCTGACTTTATATTTTGTTATCTTTACCTATATGTTTGGACCAGAATTGGCTAAAATCGTTGGCTTCTACAAGCTGTAAAAAATTGATATTTTAATATATACTGAAAGCAGTCTAAAGTACATTGTTGTATAAAGCACTTTGAATGCTCAGGTAGAGTAAAAAAGTACAAGATAAGAACCAGTCTATTTACCATTTACCATGCAGTGTGTGATTTTTGCAAAACTTCATGGCATTATTCTGATGTCATAGGTCATCGCATAGAAAAAATAGAAATACATCGCTCTCCATGCCGTTTCATATAAAAAATTACTCAATGTTTCCTTGAATTTTTTTTCTCCCAGTATCAACTTCGATCTTGAGCCTTAACTGTGAAGATCAAATAGTGCTCTGCATCAAATGGTACTCATGTCCACTGAGGCCTAGTATATTAATGTGAATTTTAAAAACCATAAAATAGAGGTTTATATAACATTTTTACTGATTTCCACATGTGCTGTGTCCTTGACCCAATTTTCACCTAAGTTAAATCAGCTCAAACTGTTACTGGTATTGACCATTACACAAAGTCTGAAAATGATATCTTGAATACTGTCCCTAAGACATATATATGTGCTTAATTTCAGGTTTTTTCCCTCCTTAATTCTGGGTGCATGCTAGCAATGGTTAGAAAATAACTTTTAATGTAGTTGCTGTTATATTGTTGTTATCATATTGGAAGTTTTTATACTTCTAACATGATATGAATTATGCTTCCAATATCGCCACCTATGTATAGCTCTTTAAAGGGAACTATTTCAGGTTTACATTCACTGGACACTTTATTAGATATGCCTTGCAATGTAAACCCCATTTTAGCTTTAGTCTTAATGCTTTGTAGGATAGATTGAACAAGTTGGTGGAAAATATGTTTATGTAGGTTCTCATTCATCCAACTCATGGTAGGCTAAGAAAATTGGACTTTAAGCTTTTGGAATATGTTTCAACTCACAGGCTTCTTCAGTTTTAAAACTGAAAGGTGACGAGTTCCAGGTATTTAAGCCATACTGGAGGCTGTCTCTTAGAAGGTAGTCATTGGCCCACTATTAATGATGTGCAGACACACTTTCTGCTTTTAAGTTTAGGCTTAAAACTTTTCTTTTTGACAAAGCTTATTATTAGCAGGGGATCAGGTGACCCCGAATCCTTCCTTTGTTATGCTGCAATTAGGTTAAGCTGCTGGGGGCTTCACATAATGCGCTGAACGTTTCTCCTTCTCTCACCTCTTTTCACTCACTGTTATACACCACTCTGCATTTACTCATGAGTTATTAATCTCTGGCTCTCATCCACAGTGCGTCTTTTGCCCTGTCTTCTTCCCATCAACCAGTCGTGGCAGATGGCTGTCCCTCCTTGAGCCTTGTTTTGCCGGAGGTTTCTTCCTGTTAAAAGGGAGTTTTTCCTTCCCACTCTTACTAAGTCGTTGCTCAAACGAGATCATTTAATTGTGGGATTTTTTCTGTATTGTTGTAGAGTCCTTGCAATATAAAGCGTCTTGAGGTGATTATATAAATAAAATTGAATTGAAGATGTCTGACATTTTGTGTCGTAAGCCAATAAGTGATGAATGATGGTCATTTGAAGTGGATATAGATTGCTTCTTTTATTCCTGTTTCAAACCGTCCATTTTTTTAGTCCAAAATGTGGACATTAGCCATGTAGACCAACCTACAACCACCACCTTTACCCCGGGGGATGCTATACCCTGTATATGTGCCCTCAAAAGATCTACAAAGGGGGAGGGAGGGGAGAGAGCAGCGACATGTGAAGACGTGTTTTTGCGAGCTCTGCTTAGATTGACCATTTGCGTAATTTTCCCGCTCCCCTTCTAGTACATCCCGGCGCGAACCCGTCTCACAAGTGCCTAATCTTTCGAATCAGTTGTATTTTGTAGTCTAAAGCTGTTCAACATGCCTAAATCGCTCAAGCAGAAGCCGGGGCCTGATGCCTCGGACTTGCCTGGTGCGGATCCGGCCGCGGGGGTGGGGGCCGGGCCGGATCTCGACACAATCATGGCTGCCATAAAGCAAACGGAGCAGAATGTGCTAGCCAAGATCGACTCGTCTGTGATGGCAGCTGCAGGTGAACTACACAAGAAAATAGACGACTTGGCGGGTGATTTAAGGTCAGAGGTCCTGAGTGTGCGCGCAGAGTTTGCGAAGGTTATCGAAGACATGCAGAAAGAAAACGCCACGCTCTCGACCCGCACTGATGATCTTGAGGAGGAAGCTAATGGCCAGGCTAACCGTGTTGTAGCACTGGAAGCTAAAGTTGATGCGCTATCTGCCCAAGTCGTCCGGTTGGCAGACAAGGCCGATGATTTGGAGTCCCGGCAACGTCGTGATAACTGCAGACTAATTGGAGTGGAAGAGGGATTCGGAAATATTCGACCGGAGAAAGCCGTGGCTGAATTGTTGAAGGAAGCGCTCGCCCTCGACTATACGCCGACGCTCGATCGGGCGCATAGGAGCCTGCAGCCGAGGCCAAAGGATGGAGATGCCCCGAGACCGATAATCGTCAAGTTCCACTATTTTCAGGAGAAAGTGGATGTTCTTCGAAAGGCCATGGGGGCAGGTCCCATTACCCGTAATGGGAAGCGTTTCTACATCTACCCAGATTACTCGGCCACCGTTAGAAAGAAGAGATCGGCCTTTACCGAGGTGAGAAGACTGCTTCGCCGGTGTACGGGAGTGAAATATGGTCTCCTGTATCCAGCTACATTGAAAATCACGACCCCGGCTGGCGAACAGATGTCTTTCGAAGACCCGATCAAGGCAAGGCACTACGTCGAGACCAATCTGCGCCCACGGGAGACGGAGGGAGAGTGACAGTTAATTCACGGACCACAACAAGTATCACACGCTGCGTGCTACCATTGAGGTAGTCTGCACAGGCTGTGCATTGACTGGTGAACGTCGCCACGCTACGGTTGGATGCCCTTTATGATTGGACAAGGTATAGCTATAAGATGTTGGGGATTTCTGTGGATGTCATGTGGCCTGGGGAATATTTTATTTCAGAATATCTTCGGTATCCTCATTGGTCTTAGTTCCAGCCCGACACCATAACCCCAACAGTGCTTTTATTTTGCTTTTTGATGTATTCTGATTAATTAATCCCCTTTTTCTTATCACCAGTGTCATTATTTTTATTGGGTTTTACCCCTTTCTTGTGGGATTATTTTCCAACCGTGAGTGTTCAGAGCCGTACCGGCCTGTAAGTGGATGGGTGCCGACATGCATGCGGCAATAATGATGCTGAGTCAAGGGTCCTATTATACTTTGTTCTGTCTTTGCTGAGTTCATGTAAGAGTTTAAGCTAGTGTAAACGTGTTATATGCCTAGGAGAGAGAGGAGTGTTTTCAGGGCAGTCTCAGGTTTGTGGAAGACCAGCCCAGGGGTCCAGGATGGTGAGAGGTTTATCTATGTTTATCTGTTTGTTTTTGTTAGTTTTGCTTTGGGTTTATCTGTGGTTTATGTTGTGGCTCAAACAGACACTGAAACACTGAGATATAACCAACGTGCAGGATCAGTCTATTATCGATTGTGGCACTATGACTCTGGATAATGTGAATAATCAACAGAAACCGGTCTCATTCATTAGCTGGAACGTCAAAGGGCTGAATAATTTGGTTAAAAGAAGCAAGGTATTTAGTCATTTGAAATCGCTCAAACCTGACGTGATGTTTCTACAGGAGACACACTTAAATACTAACTCCCAAAAAAGATTAGGTTGTAAGTGGATTGGACAAATATATCATTCACGTTTTAACTACAAAGCCAGGGGAACAGCAATCTTAATTAGGAAGGGGGTTCCATTTGAACACTCTGAAGTGATATCAGATCCTAATGGCAGATATGTTGTTGTAGTGGGCAAGCTGTTTAACACACCACTAATACTGGCTAATATTTATGGACCTAACTGGGACAACGCACAGTTCTTTCTTAATTTTTTTTCGACTCTCCCAGACCTTGTCTCCTATAAACTAATTCTAGGTGGAGACTTTAATTGTGTCCTTTCTCCCCAGCTGGACCGATCAAGCGTAAGGTCGAGCAACACCCTCTCGTCAGCAGCAGTGGCTATTAATTCCCTACTTCGTTCTTACGGCTTATCAGACCCTTGGCGTGCAACAAACCCATCTACGAAGCAATTTTCCTTTTTTTCCCCTGTACATCATAGTTACTCCAGGATTGATTACTTCATTGTCGATAACCAGCTACTTCCCTTAATTTCCAGCACCAAATACCACAGTATAGTGTTGTCAGATCATAGCCCTGTGCAGATGGGTCTGGTTTTTCCAGGTAATGTAGCGCCCCAACGAACGTGGCGGCTAGACCCCCTATTACTTTTATGTGAACGCTTTAAAACGTTTCTCAGCAATCAGATTGACTTCTTTCTAGAAATTAATGACACCCAGGATGTGTCGAGGGGAGTCTTGTGGGAGTCTATGAAAGCCTATATTAGGGGCCAAGTTATTTCTTATGTGGCACACAGAGACAAGGAGCGCTCTAAACAACTTAAAGAACTGGCTGACAAGATTGCGGATATGGATAGGCGTTACGCTCTTTCACCTACG